GTCAGCCTTCCTGCTCCTCTGATGCTGCTTGGCCTGCTGTGTTCATCCACCTCTACACCTTGTTATCTCTATTATAAAAATCTACCTGTGTTGCTAATCATGGTAGAGGTGATCAGTTATCTTTGGTCCATTTCTATCCAGCGTGATCCTCTATGTAAGATTGTTCTGGTAACCATAACTCAATCAGTAAATTAATTGCATGAGAGTATATTTTATCAGCGTTCACAAAGTCATAGAAAGGAAGCATTTGGATTTACAAAACACTCTTCATGACCTTGGGTTCTCTGAAGCACTTTACAAACAATTTAGTAATTCCTGAAGCACAATTACTTTATAGAGTCATAAACACATTTAGCATGGAATCAGGTTCTTTGACCCAACTCATCCATGCACAAGTTCCACTTGCCTGCACTTGGCCCATCTTCCTCTAAACGTTTCCTATCCATGTGTACATCCAAATGTTTTGAATATTGTGGTTGTACCAGCCTCTACCATATACGCAACACCCACTATGTGAAAAAGTTGCCCCTCAGATCCCTTTTAAATGTTTCCCCTGTCACCTTAAACCCTAAGCCCTCTAGTTTTGGACTTCCCGACCCTGGGGAAAAGACCTTGGATATCCACTTTATGTATGCCCTTCATGATTTTATAAACCTCTATAAGGTCTATGGAAAAATGTTCCAGGCTATCCAACCTCTCCTTATAATGCAAACCTTCCAGTCTGTTGGAGAAAGCATAACTGCCAATTTGTAAACAGTAGGATCTCCAGAAACAAGAATGAAATAAATGTTCAGAGAATCAGTTCTAGTTGGTGGCTAAGGTATAAGTATTGACCAGGTCACAGGATCTTTTACATACACCTGAGAGCAGTAGAGATGCCACAACATTTCACCTGAGAAATTATATTTTTCACAGTGCACCCCAGTCACTGTTATGTCAGCCTTAATTATTTATTGAACCCAAAACCTTTTGACTCCCGAGTGCAACAACTGTTATTTGGTTGACAGCTATCTAGATGGACACACATTGCCTTTTCAGTTCAACACCAAGGTCTGGGTTTTCCAATGGCCAGATAGTCATCTCTGCAATGTGCATGCGAAAATCTCGACATAGCAATGGAATGACACAGGAAATTCGCGATTTCAGTGGGCAATTCTATTGTGTCCAGAACCATCTGGAAATATCCTTTAAAAGTGAAGACTTAGAGGGTTCTGCTGCAGTTAAGTTACCAAGGAAAGTAGGAAGATTAAAAATCTTCTTCAAACCCCTGGCTAAGTATTAAGCATTAACCCCCACGCCACAAACTACACATCCCCCGGAAGACTTAAACACACACACTTCCCTCCCCAGGACCTGACACATGGTCTTCCCTTGCCCAGACATAACACTCCATCCCACCCACCTAACATTACCACTTACTGGCACCCTGAGCCCATACTTACCCTCTATACTTGCCCTTTCACAGGTACTGTCACAATAGCTGCCTGTGCTCTGGACATTTAAATTACAAAATACTGCAATTACTGCTGTGAAAGAGGTGGTGTGGTTTACATACCGTCAACTATAGACAGCAAGAATTGAGTGAATCCCTAGAAGATTAAGGGTCTAGGCCCGAAACGTCAGCCTTCTGCTCCTCTGATGCTGCTTGGTCTGCTGTGTTCATCCAGCTCTACACCTTGTTATCTAAGATTATAAAGGTAGTAGGACTATACTTAAGAGGGAAATCAGGAGGGCAAAAAGGGAACATGAGATAGCTTTGGCAAATAGGGTTAAGGAGAATCCAAAGGGATTCTACAAATGCATTAAGAACAAAAGAATAACTAGGGAGAGAATAGAGCCCCTTAAAGATCAGCAAGGCCGCCTATGTGTGGAACCACAGGAGGTGGGGAGAGATACTAAACTAGTATTTTGCATCAGCATTTACTGTGAAGAAGGATATGGAAGATAGAGAACTTGCAGAAATAAATAATGACATCTTGGAAATGTACATATTACAGAGAAAGAGGTGCTGGACATCTTAAAACACATAAAGGTGGATAAATCCCTGAGACTCAATCAGGTGTACCCTAGAACTATGGGAAGCTAGGAAAGTGATTGTTGAGCCCCTTGCTGAGATATTTATATCATCAATAGCCACAGGTGAGGTGCCGGAAGACTGTTGGTTGGCTAATGTGGTGTCACTATTTAAGAAAGGTGGTAAAGAAAAGCCAGGTAGCCATAGACCAGTGAGCCTGACATTGGTGGTGGGCAGGTTGTTGGAGGGAATCCTGAGGGACAACATTTACATGTATTTGGAAAAGCAAGGTCTGATTAGGGATAGTCAACATGGCTTTGGGCATGGGAAATCGTGACTCACTAACTTTATGTGTTTTTTGAAGAAGTAACAAACAGGATTGATGAGGGCAGAGTGGTGGATGTGATCTGTATGGACTTCAGTAAGGTGTTTGACAAGGTGCCTCATAGTAGACTGGTTAGCAAGGTTAGATCTCATGGAATACAGGAAGAACTAGCCATTTAGATACAGAACTGGCTCGAAGGTAGGAGACAGAGGGTGGTGGTGGAGGGTTGCTTTTTAGACTTGAGGCCTGTGACCAGCAGTGTGCCACAAGGATCGGTGCTGCGCCCACTGCTTTTTGTCATTTATATAAATGATTTGGATGTAAACATAGGAGGTGTGGTTAGTAAGTTTGCAGATGACACCAAAATTGGAGGTGTAGTGGACAGTGAAGAATGTCACCTCAGAGTACTATGGGATCTTGCTCAGATGGGCCAATGGGCCGAGGAGTGACAGATGGAGTTTAATTTATAGAATTGTGAGGTGCTGCATTTTGGAAAGGCAAATTAGGGCAGGACTCATACATTTAATGGTAAATTCCTGGGGAGTGTTGCTGAAAAAAGAAACTTTGGAGTGCAGGTTCATAGTTCCTTGAAAGTGGAGTCGCAGGTAGATAGGATAGCGAAGAAGGCATTTGGTATGTCTGCCTTTATTGGTCAGGGCATTGAGTACAAGAGTTGGGAGTTTACGTTGTAGCTGTACAGGACACTGGTTAGGCCACTTTTGGAATACTGTGTTCAATTCTGGTCTCCCTGCTGTAGGAAGGATGTTGTGAAACTTGGAAGGGTTCAGAAAAGATTTACGAGGATGTTGCCAGGGTTGGAAGGTTTGAGTAATCGGGAGAGGCTGAATAGGCAAGGGCTATTTTTGGAGCATCGGAGGCTGAGAGGTGACCATAGAGGTCTATAAAGTCATGAGGGGCGTGAATAGGGTGAATAGCCAAAGTTTTTTTCCCCAGGATGGGGGGAGTCCAAAATTGGACGACATAGGTTTAAGGTGAGAGGGGAAAGATTTACAAGGGACCTAAGGGGCAACTTTTTTACACAGAGGCTCGTGAGTGTCTGGAATAAGCTGCCAAAAGAAGTGGTGGAGGCTGGTACAATTGCAACATATAAAAGGCATGTGGATGGGTATATGAGTAGGAAGCGTTTAGAGGGATATGGGCCAAATGCTGGCAATTGGGACTAATTTATTCAGGATATCTGCTCAGCATGGACAAGTTGGACCAAAGGGTCTGTTTCCGTGCTGTACGGACCGAAGGGTCTGTTTCCGTGCTGTACAGACCTATGACTCTATAACTGTGCTGTACAACGAGGAACCCGTTAGATCTAAGGTATGCTCCACATTTCTGAAGGAGCCCCCTGATCATAATGTCCATCTAGAAATGTGGAGCTGTTTTAATGGAAAAATGTCAGTGGAATGACAATCTGGCTCTGACTGCCACTCCTGGAAAAACCCGGCCCCATATGTAACTTACTGCAATAAAGAAATACACAGGTCTACTTTGTACATACAAGTAGGTAATATTTGCCTAGAGTAGTGAAAGTGTATAGATCTCACCTCTATGAAAGCATTGACTGGTATAGTTAGGGGATAGTGCCTGTTCACTTCCACAGCTAGCATTTGAATCCTGACCTTCCCTGTAGGTGTAAAGCTTTACAGTGAACTATGATCTATCCCCATTCCCACAATGCCAACTCAACCCATGTGTTAACC